GTTTGTATACTTGAAAGTTGCTGCAAGTAGATCCTAAGCATTGTCATGACATAAATAAAAAAGAATGAACTCTCTTACCTATGTGAAGTGATGAATGCATTAATTACCTTGATCTTGGTAATCTTTCTACATATATCCAGTCATCATAATGTACACTTTAAATATGTACAGTTATATTTGCCAATTATTCTTCAGGAAAGTTAAAAAGAAAATTAGCTTCTGCTGATTAACGTTTACATGTTTATTTTTTAAAAGTAGGTACACGTATTCACATCCAAGTGCATAAAATACTTATTTTTTTTCAGTTTTCACATGCCTAGAATACAATCATAAATATTATATATCAGTTTAGAGATGCAAGAAAAGACTATCATGGATGCTAAAGATGTACTTTAGGGATAGTTTCTATCCAAAGAAATCAATTTTAAGCTCTATTAAAGATAAATATTTAGGACAAATGAAAGGAAGGGAACTTGAATTGTCCTAGCCCTCCCCTCTTACTTTACTTTAAAGAAACATTAGAGTACTTTTCTCTTAAGCTCTAAGTGACCATTTGTCTGCCACAGGGTGATCTGGGTGTTAAACTTTATCCTAGACCATACAGAAAGGACATGGTGCAATTTCTGAGACCTTACAGACGCTCAGTAAATGACACTGCTGGCATTGTGATTGTGGATGGGATGTCCCTACACTTACAGAGAAACGACTCTGCCGCTGTAGAGTAGTAGGAATTCTAGAAGGAATGGCGGCAAGTCCTGGTAACATGAAAATGGAACGGAAGTAACTCCTGGGATAACCAGAAGACATTTTCACTTTAAAATCTAGGTTATGTTCTGAAAATCTTTCTAAGCAGGTTCTTGGGCTACAATTCTATCACAACCTATAAGGAGACAACCTAAGCATCTTCTTAGAGATAGAACAATCAATCAGTGAGTAAATAATGTTCTTCGTCAGTCTGCTGCTTTTCACAATGACTTTCTCTTTAAAAAGAGCCTCAAGCCTAAATTTAAGCCTAACCTGGTTTTTTTCTCCCATTATATAAGAACGCTTCCTGCGCTAAGTCCATGATTTAGCTCACTCCATAGATTAAAGGTTTCTTGATTTATAGAATTTAAATAGTGTTGCTGCCACATGGAAAAGAGCTTTGGCTTTAATTCTCCCCAAAGGTGATGATAATAATTTGGTTCAAGCACAACATTTAAGACAGTTGTTTAATAGAGCTGTTATTTAAAGATTTATAGATGTGTGAGAAGTATTGCAACTTAATTAGCATCCCCAAATTGCTCTAATTATCAGTCTGTGCCTCACATTTTTTTCATGGACCTAGTGTCCTCTGCTATTTAACCTTGCCCACAAATCGGTCCTCTCTTTGATGGAATGACAGAGTTGTGCTTATTGTGACGATAATAAATAGACCGAAGCAATACTGAAATGAAGTAACTATCTGAGAGTAAGAATCAACAATTTCCACTGTGTTAAATAAACTAAAAAGAAATGGCAGCAAAATATGAGCGCTTTGAAAAAGTTGAAGTCCAGCACATCTGACTCCCATGTTATAAAAATGTTCAAATTAAGTACTTAACTCCAGCGAACATCCTTAGGGGGGTAACAGATTTGGGGGACATTTTAGATTTTCACTCTTTTGCATGGTACGTAGAGAACATTTGGGTCAACAGTTCTTTTCATCCCATTTTTACAACCATACTCAATATTTTGTCTCATGTCATAATAAATATGCAATTCTTTGTCCCTGTCTCCCCACACATCCATCTCGGTTAACCTGATTGGGAACGAATTTAATCTCATTGCTTAGATATGAGGCCTTGTCAGTTCTAAATAGGGGAGAGCCCATGGGAAATAAAGCTTTGAAAACCCCCTACCCGAAAAGAAAAGACGCGGCTCGCTCGCTCGCTCGTAGGGTGGAACCAGAACACTGGCTGCAATATTCAAACAAAAGAGGGGTTAGGTGGGAAGTCTGGAGGAATAAGAGATACTTTTGCTCTGTTCTTAGGAACAGCGTTGGGCGACTTGCATGCTTTTTTTTTTTTTTTTTCCAGCAGCCTGTCTGCACAGGCACACTCTGCAAGTCAAAGGGCTATGTATTTTTCTCAACGATGTTTTGAAAAGTCAGGTCGCAAGAGGGTACATTTAAATACTGTCTGGGGGAGGCACAGACGGTACAGCTCAGTGGTCTGTGCACACGTTGCGCGGCCGGCGATAACCAATGATAACCTGACTGCAGCGCACATCCCCCCGGCAGAGCTGTCTGTGGGAGCAGCGGAGATCTGCAAAATCAGGAGCGTCGCCACGTTTGGCCAGGCCGAGGGTACCGAAGGATCCCGGGAAGATCGCTGGTTGTTGTCATATTTTTGCAGAGGACAGGACTGCTGCTTTTTGGGTCCCAGAAGACCATCAGCGAACCTCATCCCTGTCCCCGGGACGCGGCCACCCCGGCGGAGCCCGCCCGCCCGCCGCCCGCCGCCCGCCGCCCGCCCGCAGGCTGCGGCAGGGAGGCCCCGGCGCCCGTAGGTGGCGCCCCACGTCCGTGCTTGCGCTTCTCGCCCGCGCTTGGGGCGCAGCTGGGAAACCCGCGCGTCTCCCCAGGTCGTTAGAGCTCAGAGTAGGCATTTTAATAAACAAGCGCGAGTGCCAATGCGCTCCGGGAGCCTCGAGGTTCAGAGGAGCAGACACACAAACCCAGGCGGAGGCGCCTCTTTTAATCCCTGCCGAAATCTGACATTTCCCAAACTGGAGATTCCGGAACCGCAGCCTTCAAGCCATTAAAATCCCAAGCTTTTTCGCTCCATTCCAGTCCTTTTTATTTTTTATTTCATTTCATTTCATTTCATTTTATTTTTATTTATTTATTTATTTATTTATTTATTTATTTATTTATTTATTTATTTTTTTAAGAAAACAGCTCTACCCCCTAATTATGAAAGTAGTTGCGCTATTAAGGATTAAGACTTGGAGGGAATTTGGAAAAGGAAAGAAAGAATCGAAAAGAAGAGGCGCGACCGGCGCGCTGAGGGTGCCTCATTAGTAAAAGCGAGGCGTCTGGGAGGATTTCGCTCTGGGTGTCTGGGTGAGAGCCGGACCTGGGCGGCGCAGGGTGCGGCGGGGGTGCGGGAGCGGGGAGCGGGCGCCGAGCCCGGGAGGGGGCAGTGCGCCGAGTCCTCCGGGCGATCGCGATGGCTGTGCCGTCTGGAGACGCGAGGAGAGGCTGGGACTGAGGGGCCCCGGCGGGCAGAGCCGGGCTGCGGGCGCGCGGGGCGCGCGGGGCGCGAGGGGCCCCCCTCGGCTGCGGGCCCGGGGTGCGCCGCAGCACCGGCGCGGTGCCTGGGACCTAACGGGTGCGAGGCGCGGGGCGCGGCGCGGCGCGGCGCGGGGCGCGAGGGTCCGAGGAGCTGCGGGCACGGGGCGCCGCGCGTGGGGGAGCGGGACGACCGGCGCGGCGATGCTGGGCGCGGGGCCCCGGGGTGCGCGGCGCGGGGCGGACCCGGAGCGGGCGCGGGCCGTCGCGGGAAAGGGGCAGGGCGGGGCGGCGCGGTTATTGGCCAGGCGCGGGGAGAAGGGCTGCGCTCCGAGTCTCCTCCCGCCAGCGGCCGCTCCTCTTCTTTAAGCAGAACAACTTCGCGGACAGCGCGGCTCGCTCACCATGGATGTTCCAGGTAACCGCAACCCGAGCCTGCCCCCCGCGCCCGCGCCTTGATTGCATCCAGGCGTCTTATTTTAACGAGGACCTTGGAGAGCCGCGCTCCGGGGAGGGCGCGCGCGCGGGGGTGGCGGCAGCATTTTGTGCCGGGGCCGGGGAGAGGCTGCGCCCGGAGAAACAACTTCTGTCTTGTTAGGTAGCGAGACTGCTGGAGGAGTTGTAGGGGGCCGTGGGCGGTGAGGGGAGAGCTTCTGTGCGGTTCGTGGCTCGGCTGGGTGCCGCAACGACCGGCCCAGCTGGCGGGAGAGGAGAGGGCCGCGGACAAGTGCGAATGCGCGCTCAAGTCGGCGGAACGCCCGGGGCCGCCTCCCGGGCCGGAGAGGAGGGCTCCGAGTCTAGGAACAAAAGCTGCGCCGTGAAGCAAGCCCGGGACGCCCCGAGGTGCGATCCGCGGGTCCTGCGCGGGGCCGAGCGATCCGAGGGGCTCCTCCAAGGGCGCTCGCTGCCGGCTGCGGGGACCTTGGAAGTGGGTGTTCGGGTTTTAGAATCTCTCTCTCTCCCTCTCTCTTTTTTTTTTTTTTTCATTTTTTACCTCTTACTCACCCTAAGGAGCTTCCTTGGGATTTGATCTTGGGGCGGAAAATGGATACGATCTTAACTAAGTGGACTGCTTAAAAAAAAAAAAAAAAAAAAATCTCCGGGATGGAAACACAGAGGATGAAAGGGAAAGCAGATAAAGGAAAAAAAAAAAAAGGTTTCTTGGTGTGGCTTTCAAGAAAATGCCGCTAAAACGGAAGCGATAAGCCTTCAGTAGTTTCTTTCTTTGCCGGCATCTCAGCCCCTCTCCGCCTTTGCAGAAGGGGCTGGGGGTGGCGCTGCCGGCGTCCCTGAGGTCACCGACCGCTGTCGAGCTTCCGCCGAGGCCCCGCAGAAGCCCGGGCCCCTCTCCCTGACCGCACCCCCGGCGCGCGCCGCCCCGGAGCCCTCGGGGATGCCCTGCCCCGCGCGCCGGGGGCTTCCTCGGACCTGTTGTGCCCACCGGGGAGGGGGGGGCGTGTGCGGGACTAAGAGGGTGGCCGCCAGGGAGAGGGGCCCCTGCGCTGCAGGCACCTGCTCCCCGTGCCCCCTCCCCCCACAGCGTCGCTCCCAGTCTAAGGGTTCGGGTTCTTTGCCCTGACAGGTCCGCTGGCGCCTGCCTTCTGAGGACGACCCTGGCCTTGACCGTCAGAGCGAGGGACCGAGGCCAAAGGAGGCGTCCCCAGGCCCCGCGCAGCCCTGCGCGCCCTCCCGCGCTCGCCCGGCCGCTGCCCGCCGTCGCCCCCGCGCGCCGCCCCCCGCAGCCCGGATGCCGGCGCCCGGCCGGGGCCCCCGCGGGCCGCCGCTGACCATGCCCGGGCGCCGGGGGGCGCTGCGCGAGCCGGCGGGCTGCGGCTCCTGCCTGGGGGCGGCGCTGGCGCTGGCGCTGCTGCTGCTGCTGCTGCCGGCCGGCTGCCCGGTGCGGGCGCAGAACGACACGGAGCCCATCGTGCTGGAGGGCAAGTGCCTGGTGGTGTGCGACTCGAGCCCGTCGGCCGACGGCGCCGTCACCTCCTCCCTGGGCATCTCCGTGCGCTCCGGCAGCGCCAAGGTGGCCTTCTCCGCCACGCGGAGCACCAACCACGAGCCGTCCGAGATGAGCAACCGCACCATGACCATCTACTTCGACCAGGTCAGCCGGCGGCCTGCCAGCTCGCCTCCGCCCGGGGTGGAGGGGTGGAGGGGTGGAGGGCCCGGGACTTCCCGGCTCCCCCGCCTCTCGGCCCTGCCCTGCCCTGCCCTGCCCTGCCCTTCTTTTTTCCCCCTTCCGAGGAAGCAAGCTCTGCTTCCCATTGCCCTTTTTCACACTGTGGCTCCTCTAGAACTGGCAGCCCCATTGGCACTTGGATGACCGACAGTCCTTTAAGGCTCAGGGATCTGAAGTGCAGCCCCTCACCCGAGGAAATTGAACATCTTACTTTTCGCTGGGATGGGGGCTGCCGGGTGTGGTGGGTGGGCTTCAGTCATCCAGGGGGCCGGCTCGGGACTGAGTGCTTTGAAAGCACACCCCAAAAGGGAGTTTTCCAAAGGTCTCAGCCAACGGTCAGAAAATATGTGTCTACTGCTTATTGTGGAACGGACTGGGGAAGAGGTGCTTATCTTCGAGAAAAAATAAGTCAGGGAGAGTGTGGGGGCAATAGCAGGGATGGTTATCTAAATACAAGGCAAAACAGAGTGAGATCATATAAATGCAATAGGTAGTAAATACAATATCTACAGTGTAGTGTACAAATATGTACAGCACATAAAATAGTGTATGTAGTGTGGTCATACAGATTGAAAATAAAAACAAAATAAGGATCAATGACTTAAGTTGCCCTACGTCACTTAACTTCCCTCACTTTGCTCAAAGCAGAAGGGTCCATAAATGATCAGACCTTGGCAATCCCTTCTCTGGGGTATTGGGCTCAGGACTGGCGGTAGTGACTTTCCTCTTGTGCCCTCCCGTCTTGGTTTCTGTTGTTTTTCAGAAACAAGTTGAAAACATTATTGTGGTTCCCAAACTTTACCCGGGCTCTTCCTTTTGCCAAAATAATTTCCACTAAAGCCCCGGGTACTGGGCTCACTGGCCACACTTAATTGACTTCCCTTCTGTTAACCAGTTCTTACACCTCAGTGATGGTAAACTTCCAACACACCCTTGCCTTTTTTTAGACCAGAGGCTTAATTTATTTTAATCCTTGCTATGGATTACCTACTTTGAAGTTTTGACCATTTTTTTTGAGGGGGGGGGATCTCTTTTTCATCTGTTTTTAAAGAACTTTTTTTTAAAAAATGAAATTACTGATTTTAATGATATCCAAATAAAGCAGACAACAAAATAGGTATTTGCTATTTACTCTATTCTTTACCTTATTATTAGTCACCTCCCGTCATTTCACTTGGGTGTCAAGAGAACTCTGTGATGAGGGCAAGATAAGTTGTAGTAAGATTCTAATTTTATAGATGAGCTAACTATGGCAGGGCGGGTAAAATGCTATTTCCCTGGTTTCCCAGTTAGGGAGTAAGCGAAACCTGCTCCTTGGGTGTTCTTTCATCCACAGCAGGGCCCAAAATTTACCAGTTTCCGGAATTTAAAACTGATGGGAAAGAGCTGTGGTAGTTGAGTTGGAAGAGGCAGCTCCGAGGGCTTGGATGGAGAGTGCTTTATTCTTTTTTAAAGCATCCTAAGGCCGACTGAGAGCATGGGCTTGAAGAGACGGAGTGCAGGCATTGTGCAGCGAGCCGTCCTGAACAATAGAGCCCTGAGCGTCTGTGCTGAGCCCTGCAGGCGAGGGGGACTGAAGTAGTGCCCCGGCCTCCCTTGCAGAAGCTGGTGCCGGTTTCTTTCCCTGAGTGGTGACAGCAGTTGTCACGGGCAGGCCGCATGTTGCAGTGGGGATCGCGTGTCATTCATCTGCTGTGATGAGTGTGTGAGGAGTAACTGCAAGAGGTATCCGGTTGAAATTTATTTTCTGAGCAGATGATGGGATCCCTAGTCTGGGGTTCTGTTGTTGCTGGCTGTTGGCTTTAAAAAGCCCAGCACACCAGGCGGGCCGTGTTAGTATTTTAATTGAGTGTGTGCATTTGTGTGTGAGAAGAGGTGGGGACGGGATCCAGACGGGGTGACCAAACTCCGCCTTACACACCTGAAAAGGAATTGAGCCATAATAAGGGATCCTCCACGCTTCAAATTCTGCTCTTGACATTGTAACGCTCGCATCCCCCTTTCATTTGAGGGGGGAAAAAAATGAAAAAAATCATCGGCAGGGGCACGTGACCTCACATCGTCTGGCTAATTTTGTCATTATTCTTGCATGCTCCTGGAGTTGGAGCTTAGGGTATCCAACTGCTGTCTCCACTCCCTTCATTTATTCAAGCTTATTTGCATGACGTCATAGCTCAGCAGAGGGAGCAAGCACAGTGCTTAGAGCCAAGTGAAGGAGACAGGTGCAGCCAGTGCTTACCCACCCCAACTTTGCACTCTGTCCCTGCCCTTGAGCACCTACTGTGTGCCACCAGGGAAGGTGCCAGGGGCTGGGGATACACGGGGACAGGAACCTCACCCAGCTTATCCTCTCCCGGAACATGTGAAATGCCAAGGTTGAGCTGATGTAAATTATTTCCCTGAATTGGCTTCTTACCCCAAGGTCTACTTCTCCTGGTTCAGCATGGCGTGGCACCCTAGTTGTGAAACTAAACTTGATGTGGAAGTCCCTGGAATCCCACAGACCAGTTTCGTTTGCTTACTGACCTCATTGTCTTCCTTTCCCTCTGCCTTGCCCTCAGACTGCAAAATTGGCATCTGCTTTTTACAATGTGTAAATAAAATACACTTCACAAAAATCTTTATTGATTATGGTCCATTAGGATTCTTCTAAAAATCCCTTTCTGGTGTAGGGTATTTTGGCACCAGCTCCCACCCTCCCGCCCTACACCCCCACCACCACCCCCAGGGCAGCCTTGGCTCACTGCCTGGGTGCCTCTTGCTGCTGCTGCTGTGCAGGCCCTGGAGGAACCGGTGGCGTTGGTTCTGCAGGCCTGAGCACAACAGATGCAGAGGAGGGACTTGCTATGTTTGTGTCGTATTCCCTCTTCTTTTTCAGGTATTAGTAAATATTGGCAACCATTTCGATCTCGCCTCCAGTATTTTTGTAGCACCGAGGAAAGGGATTTATAGCTTCAGCTTCCACGTGGTCAAAGTGTACAACAGACAAACCATCCAGGTGGGTCGCTGTGAAACCATGGGGACCGTTGCAGTTCCGATGGCCAGTGCCCTACGGCTCCAGGTCCCATCCTACTGTCTGGGAATCTGGGCCAGCCAAGGTGGGGGCGTTGCTGAGCAGGGGCCCACAGCATCTTTGGGGCCAGGCCCTCTGGCGTGGCTCCGCGGAAAGGGCAGAGCGTGTGGGTTCGGGGCAGAAGAGGACAAACAGGTGCACGTGGGGTCCTGTGTGGTCCACTGAGCTTTGCCCTCTGCCCTGCAGGTCAGTTTAATGCAGAACGGCTACCCCGTGATCTCAGCGTTTGCAGGTGACCAGGACGTTACCAGAGAAGCTGCCAGCAATGGTGTCCTGCTGCTGATGGAAAGAGAGGACAAAGTACATCTCAAGCTAGAGAGAGGCAACCTCATGGGTGGCTGGAAGTACTCCACGTTCTCGGGCTTTTTGGTGTTTCCTCTATAAACGCAGTGGCCCCAGGCGGCGGGCAAGTTGCCATCTGGACCCGGGCGTCCGCCCTTCCTAGACACCCTGGACTCGCCAGAATAGGACCACTTGTTTCCAACCTCTGTCGGACTGTCGAGGTAGAAGAATGATTTCTTTCCAAATCTCCAGCATTTTCTTTGAATATTGACCATTCCTCGGGAACCTGGCTTCTAATTAGTTTTAGACGACAAGGTCTTAAGGAGACATGAAATGATCGATTTGAGCAATTTGTACCTGTGATTGTGAAGTCAATATTGGATTTTATTGTCGGGACCATTGACTTTTCTTCTTTTGTTTGTACGTTGTATCGCGGCCCCAACGCCAGGAGGGCGGCCGACCCTGGGGCCGGATTGCAGGCCTCAGGCGGGACTCAGAGCAAGAGCCCTGCGAATCACCACCTGCCCGAGAGTCCTCGAAATGTGTTCTTTATGTGTCTGTTCAGCCTTAAGGAAAAGAATGGCTTCACTCTCATTCTGTATTTTTCCCCCCGGGTGGACGGGAGGCCTCGGGAGGGGGAAGGGGACATTGTGAATCTGTCAAGAAGTGCTTTATCTGGAGAAGCAAATTTTGCACGATTGGACTGCGACTTTTGCTTTGTATTGTGTGTGTGTGTGTGTGTGTGTGTGTACGCGTGAGTGTGTGTGTGTGTGTGTGTGTGTGGTTCTCTGTTTTTAGTTTTTGCTTTGTTTTTCCTGGAAGAGCTTTACCTTTCTTTCCACGTTCAGCTCTCCCTCCTTACCCCTCCTTCTTCTATGTTTCTGTGCTGGGACGGGGGAGAGAAATGTATGCTGAATTCCTGAATGAGACCAAACCAAACCAAACAAAAAACGCCGATGTATTTTGTTTTGGTTGAGACCAGAACAAACAGAAGGTACCTGTAGATCAAAGTCCAAATAACAGATGGACAATTCTGCTTATCCTTTCAAAGAGATTCTCTCAGATGCACCGTTAGAACTAACAAGCTGGATTTTTTTTTTTTTTTAACGCTCTGGAATACTCTAAGAACTTGATATTCCTGGGTGGCTTTGAATCACGTAAGATGAGAATGGAAGCGGTAATGACCAAGTCTCTGAAACACACGCTTTCTCGGCCCAGCGCACCTGGGTCTGCCCAGCAGCCTGTTGTCATCTGTTTGCATCCGTGTCTGCGAGAGCACACCAGGCTCAGGTGCTTCAAAGCCCACAGGACCAGCTACTCTCCCTCAGGATCCTCCTCTGATCTGCCAAGGAAAGAGGTGTGTTGATGCTCCCTGCGAACACCTGGCAGGAAGCCACCTGGAAGTCACAGCAGTTACAGGTATTGGCAGAGGCACCCTGGGAGCAGTTTTCCAAATCCTTCTTGTTTTGGCCCCTTGTACAACAATAGTATTACAATACAGCTGGGAGCCGACGGGTGCAGGAATCATATGCCAAGGAAATGTCACTAATCCCAAAGCAATGGAAGAAGAGACCTCACAGCGGATGTTAATTTGTCCTTTGTGTAGCAATGTAACCAAAATATTGATGATAAAGAGTCATAATTTAAGATTCAGAATAAATGGGTTTGATGTCTGGCTTGCTCTTCTCCCTTCACATCGTCTCCCAACTCCCCCAGTGTGTGGAAGTAAAGGCCGCGGATCAAGGACTCGGGGAAAGGAAGCCCACACTGTGCCTCTTTAAAACACACACTCAAATGCACACCCCCATTTGCAGATCTAGCTGTGGGTCTCCATGGAAATTGCACACTTAGATACCTTTCGATCTATATCTGTATTTTTCACACGAAAAGATTTCAGGGGGAGATATTATGTGAAAAAAGACAGTATTCAAAAGGCTTTATGGATAGGCGATCTGCTTTCATCACATACAATCATTGATGTACAAGTTCCAATCCAATATTTCAATCAGAGAACATGGATATAAAGGAAACTGACATTTCAATACAGCATCAAGTGTTTCTAAGATACATGTGAGCATGGGGAAGCATTGGGTTCCATTTCCAAATAAATGCAGTGGGGATTATGAGAGTGAAAATAATATAGTTTGATGAAAAGTCTAAGTTTTTAATGGCCGTAAGTGGACAGCGTACGTAATACGATACAGAACTGAATTTGAATTAAAATGATATTATATTTTGTTAGGAAAAAAAATCAAGAAATATCAGCCAAAAAGCATTTGGGTTCATTGGCTCTGTGATTAGGTGACACACTTCTGAGCGTGAGCGTTGTTTATTAATGCCAATAATGCAAACAGGACGCTAGTGAATATTTTCCTTCTGTGTTTTACTGCTCTCAGTGAATTAGCCCTCTGTCCCTCCTTTATAAAACCTTCCGTTTGATTTCAGACAAGTAGCAAACTTCATTAGGGGAACGATACCGCACTTCAGAGACTGAAAAAAAAATATATGCGTATGTGCTATTTTTATCGCTTACTAATATGTAATGCACATATTTGTATTTACAGCTTTACCATGTCCAGGTTGTAATTTGGTTATGCCGTCTAATAAATAAGTTATTAAATTCATCATTCTAAAAGTAAGCATATTTCAGGAGTTTCTTTTATTTTAGGAAAAAAAAAACTTAATCCTGTTTATTCCACTCCTGCCTTTATTTATTTGTTTGTTTGTTTATTTCTATCTTGAGCTGGTTGCCAAACCCTACATTAGGGAGAAGCCACAATAGTAGTTCTTCTGAAGCTCTTTGTTGTCCACCCTCGCAGCTGCCTAAATTCTGTCTGGTTTAAGGATCTTTGAGGGAGATGAAGCTCTTGTGTGTGGTCTGCGGAAATATGTAGGTCAGATCAAAATGTGAAATATATTTTCCTTTATTTGGGGAGGAAAAGTGACATGTGCACTGTGTGCAGTCTGATGTGAGCATCCGTACCTCTGGGCTTCTGCTTCCCATCTGTGGGGTGAGGGCAGTAGCCCCCATATTTCCTGCCCAACTCACAAGGCAATGGTGAGAGTGCTCTGGGAAGCAAGGCACTGTGATCTGTGCTCTGGGAAGTGCAAGGCACTGTGATCATGGGAGACATTATGTGGCAGGAAGGGTGTTTCTGGAAAGTCGGATTGTTCCACGTGCGATTTATTAAACGTACCTAAAACGAACATCTGACAAGAGAACACTTTTATGTGACACTAAATTTCCATATTCCCCACTAGCTTATTAAAGCTGTAGCACCCTGGAAGTTTAATTCGAGTTTTAAGAATGATGATAATATGAACATGTCAAAATCTATACATTTTCCTATTAACTCAATTCTTGATTATGTTCTTTGACTGACCTACATGGCTGAGGCCTAGCTTTCTGTTCCAGTCTGTGATACCAGTATTTTAGAAAAATATACAACTATAGTGTTTTTAACACTAGGAAAAACTGAGTTATCAATATTTTGGCATTGTAATAGTAAGTTGGTCTAGCCACTAAATGTTAATCCTGCCAAGCTGCAAAGTGCTTTTAAAATAACACTTATTTTTTAACTAAAATATATTCTAATTTGAAACACAACACTGCTTCTACTCTAGGTCCTGAGAACCTGCATTTACTATCTGTAGTTCCTGAGTCCTTTTCGCATTCTAATATTTTTTTATTTACATACTCTTGTATAGTGAAATTATTTACATTTTTAAAGTTTGTGATTACCATGACCACTTGGAGCAAAGGAGAGAAAAGTCTTTTGGATATTTACATGAACACTCGTGGAATCTTGTAGAGTTTACATACTTACTTGTTTGGAAAAAAAATGTTTTTTACCAAAACCTAGGGATATCAAGCCTCAGAAGAGTTAGAAAAGACCTTTGCTGCATCTTTAATTTTATTTCTATTTCCTTACAATCTTATCAAGGAAACTGATATCAAATCACATACATGATAACTGTTACATACGTATCACTTGCCTGTAAATACGTGAACATACACACCTGTTTTCCCTGATGAATAAAAACAGATCATAGATTGACTACATTCTCCTGGACTCTGGTAATAGTTGAGAGGAGAATTTGTTGAATCACTTCATACAAACAAAACAAAAGCATGGTTTGCTCCAGCATGCCTCATATATAGCAAAAGGAACAAAGAATGTTCTGTCAATTTGTGTCCTCATGATTTTGCAATCTTTTATAAGGAAATAAATATTGCAATAAGATAATGTTGCTGTGAATAAATAGTTAATGTTTATATTTCTACAGCATAGGAAGTATATGGTAATCTAATGCACATGACTGAAAGGCTGTTACATTATATTTCAGGTGGTGTAAATAAATGATGGAACTCATAGAAGCAGGTTACACTGAATTATTCTCAAGATCTTTCTGTGCACTCTATAAAAACACTTGTAAAAAATGTAAAACTAGATTAACCATAGAACATGAGGTTTTGCCCTTTTACCTTGCTTATGTAGGAATTTACTTGTCAGTGGGACTCTATCTGAAGCCGACACTTTGCTATTAAAATGGGATATGACAAACATAGTTAACATGTGAGATCAAAGCCTTGTGCATTCTCATAAGACTCTTTAAATTAGTTTTCTTGGCATTTAAGGAGTAGGTGCAGCAAATATAATGAAGTAAGATAAAATACAATTTCCATTTGGTTTTATCATTTTATGTTTTTAGGGGGGTTTAGAATCTCTCTCTCTCTCTTTTTAATGAAAACACTCTGAAGATGTTAACTGATGATGGCCAAGTACATTAATCAAGTATATTTATGTATTTGCCTAGGCTTTTAAAACATAATTTTTGCAGGTAGATTTCGCCAAAAGGTGTATTTACTGCCTTTGCAGATGGAGCGCTACAATTCAGTCACATTTTGATATTTTAAATGTCTATGTCTTATACAGCTATCAATGAAGTGATTGGTCAGACCCGGTCCTCACCCATCCCTAAAAAAAAAAAAAAAAAAAAAAAGTCTTTTCAAAATCCCTTTTAGGTTGATCCAATGAATATAAACTTAAAAAAAAAAGTTCTGTGAGTTTGTATAATAATGTTACACCAAAATATGAATTCTAAGTAAATGAGCTTTCTTTCCATTCCCAAACCCAGTAGGGTAACTTGAAAGTTTTAAGGGCAAAAGCCGTGTGGCTTTACCTCCCACAGATAATAGGAGCTCTGTTTTATCTTCCTAAGTGGATTTTGCTGTGGATTTCCATCACCAGAATCACCTAAGTGTCTATAGCATCATAAATCATCATCTGCATCAGCTCGCCCACATACACTCACTGTGTAGTGTAAATGAGCTCCTTGACAACTTAATTTGGAAAAGAAATCTTCATTCCCTCTTCTTAATGCCCATGGCAGGACTCCCTGGGGTTAGAATGCTGCTTTGCACTGGAGCTATCCTAACAGAATGGAAGCTGCTTATTAATGAGCCACTACCAGTCTGCAACCTGACTAGCTATGCCTTAACTTTTATTATTGTGCCCTCATATTTTTCAGGAGTGCTCATTTCTCCTTTTGAATTTGTTTCAGGTGGCAAAACAAAACAACACAAAACAAAAGCCCTGTGTGAGTTGGAGAATGTTGACAATATATTTGGATGTGGAGCTAACACTTGAGTATTTTGCTTAAGTATATTTGCTCTTACTTAATTTATTTTGAAATGTTTCCATAAATCTCTTATGCTCTCAAAGTCCTGTCAGATATAGAGCATCCTAACATTTCCTTGACCTCATACTATAAATGAGCATTTATTGTGACTTTGGGTGCTTTGCTATGGAACTGGCTTCAGATAAGAGTAATATTTAAAATAGAATCAAATTAATGAGAAAAATTGGCAGATATTCCTTATTACTCAAATCCCTCATTTCCAATTTTTTAATGGATTTTTTTAAACAGTATTTTGCATGGATCTTAACGGTAACTATCGGCTTTAAAATTAACATTAAAATCAGTTTTATCTTTGAATTGCTAACATATCTTTTTTTTTTCAATCATGTAACTCTTAGGTCATAAGTGATACACTTTGAGAAGTCTATCACTGAATATAGGACATGAAAATGTGATGCCTTTTTCCCCCCGTATTCCCAAGCACCATGTTGGGATGTCATAGCATAGTTTTGTTCTGAAACTGTAAACTGTTTGTGGAGACATCAATTATATTGCTTATTAAAAGAAATTCACTCCTTTGAGATCAGGGTGTAAACGTTTCCTTTTCATTCCATAGCATTTACATATTGATGCTTAGGGGCCAGATAGTGTGCTTAAGGATGATGAGAGAAAAATAAAGACATACTTATTATGTACCAAGAGTTTACAGTCCTTGTCAAAAATACAGCCTGGAGAATATCCAGGTAAACGCATGCAAAACTCCTGGGTGGGCTGGGTGAGTGTAGGAGGAACCTTAGAAATCTGACTGCATGTTTACTAAAGTGAATAAGGTGATTTACATTTTTCACACACAAAGAGGAGAATGTTATTTGGGCATTGACATTGAACACTGAACACCGGTTAATCTTCCAACTAAAAGGTTCCCTGCAACCTCTCCTCCCACGCTGAATATGGTTGGGTATTTGGGCAGACATACGGCCAACTAACTAGAGCTCATGAACTAACCTTGAAAGTATTAAAGTCGGAAGGGACAGATATGGGGAATTTCCATTGTTTTAACACATGAAGGTTAGGATACAATAACCCTTTTTTACAGTTTTATTTCTGTTTGCCTTGTGTGGTGAATTGCTCGAGAAGACAGAAGGCATGCTAGAATTAGTCAAACCCTTCAGATCTAAAGCAAGATAAAAATAAGGCATGATGTCAAGTCCGTTCTGAACAGAGCTGGATGGAGGAGCATACCCAGCATTTTGGCACATTATACAAGATTATTAACTTAATGAATACAGGTCTAAACTAAGGCACACAAAAAATAAACGCGAGACCAGATTGAACAGGTCAAAACCATGAATTCTGTATTTTTTAATTATATAATCACAAAAATATGTGTGTTTGGGGGTGTGCAAATGTTGAATATAAACAAATATGTATAGTCAAAACTTACCCCTGTCACAATGCCTGCCCTGTACCAGCACTGAACACTTGCTTTCCTAGAAGGGGGAGGTGACGGATCCAGGTATCTTTGCCTGGGTTCATGGACTCACTTGTACCAACTTATCTCAATACTTCGGTCTGTTTCCTATTTTATTTCTTGTATGCAATCTTAGGAATCTATTTCTCCAGAAGGTGGATATTACATCTGGTCTCCCTGACAGACAGAGATTGAGAACTGTTGAGAATAATGAAGCCATCTGGTGCTATAAACCCAACAGAAAGCTATGATCAGTGGATCATGGCCTAATCTACTCTTCATCCATGGCATCTGAATTGCGTTGGCACAAAGGAGTGACAAGGGGCTGGATATTCCACAAGATTGTCACATCTTCCCAATCATTTAGCAGACAAAAGGCATGCATGCATCAGACTGTGATAATTAGGGAAGACTTATTCTCCCCTAAGGCCTATTACTTTTGATACTTAATCCCCCCACCTTTTTTTAGTGTCTCAAAGGATACTACTCCAGTGGATGTCATGCAATATTGACCTATAATTCTTA